CCCAGGGCGGGGAAGATATGGGAGAGAAATCGGGCGACAGCAATAGGCGTGGTTATTGCCGAGTCCTCGACATCAAAGTCGAGGAGAGCATGTTGCTGAGTGGCGGTTTGGGAAGCGGGGGGGACGACAGTGGCATCAAGCGATATCGTGAGAGTTCGGAGGCGCGAAGAATGGCGGGCGAACGAATGCAGACAATTGAGAGTGAGCTGGGGGAGTGGGGAGGCATACCTCGCAGATAAATGGAGTATTTCGATTAGAGGCCACGCGCGTGTCATGTCTGAGATCAGGGCGTTGTCGAGGGCGAGTCCGCGTGATGAGGAGATATCTAAGATGGTAAGATTGATGAAGGGGAGGAGGAGGAGGATCGAGGATCTCTGAATCCGGTGGATGCTAGGATCTGGCCATGCTTCCCCATCACGGCCAAAGGTCAGTTGAGTGAGAGAAGCGTGTAGAAGGCCGGCGGACATCGCAGTGAGAAACATGTGGGTCTCGTCTCCCGTCGGTGAAGGGGAACAGTCGATAGAGACGGATGTCAGCGGGACGCGACAAAACATGCCCAAGAATTGAGTGGTTGGACCGATGGGCGCATAACAGATTTGAAGAGTGTCTAGAGCTCTGAAAGTTTCAGTATCACGAACTGGCGGGAGTGTCAGCTCCGGCAGGAATGTGTCAATGCGCAAAGATTTGAGATTCGGCACAGTGCGAATATGTTCGAGAGCGCTCTGGTCCATGATAGGGACGGACAGAGACTCGATCGAATATAAGCTGAGCACAAATGCCGAGACTGCCTCTATCTCGGGCTCTGAATCCCAGTCATCGGTGTCTAAACTCAGCGACAGATGAAACCCCTTCAATGTCGGACATTTCATTGTGAGGACCGAGAGGAGCGAGAGAGCAGCCGGAGAGGAAGAAAATGATATGGAGGTGATTGTGGGGATGAGAAGCATAGTGATGTGGGGGAAGTCTTCGTTGGAACACGCCCAGTGAAGACTTTTAAGGTTGCCAAGTATGTTGTTCGGAAAACACATCGCAATTGTGGGCAACACTTCCGATATATCCCATTCGTCGCATCCGGAGAAAAGTTCTTTGACGCGGAAGGCGTAGATCGAAACTCGATCCCAATCCGTCGCGCGAATGGGACGATCAAGCCACTATTTTTCATTCAAAATGCGATAGAAAAAGGTTCTGCAATGAGACCTACCATCTCGTATTTCACATCCGTAGATATCCGCCGACTGTCATGACCCTCGCGTGGTTCGTCAAGTTCATGGAAATCCAATAGATCCGAAGGCATGCAACGGATGAGGTTAACAAGGACGGCAGACCTCCATAAGCAAGTGATGGCGGGACCATTGAAGAACCTGCATACTCTTGCCGTGATCGCAACGTCAGTGAGCCAGGGCTGCTTCCACGTCGCCTGTTCGAACTCCAGCCGCTTGGAGCCACACAAATGCTCCAGTATCATTTCCACAATTTCCAAGATCGTCAGGCAGCGGTGCATTTTTGGTGGAGGACAAAGATGGCGTGCAGTGATAAAGCGGAAAGGAAGCGAAAAAGTGCCAAACCCCTGCAAACAGAAGCATCAAAGGCGATCGGCAATTCCCGTTTGCTCTTTGTCTTTGACTGGAATTCAAACAAGATTGACCATTGTTCTGGGACGGTTTTGAGGCAACACCACCCCCACTTGAAATTTACATCTGCAGTTGGAAACGCGGAGGAAGCAATGAAAACAGCTGCAAGTATCCAGTTCGAGTTTTTCGATAAGCTCCTCCGTCTTAATCAGAGTGTTGACAACTCACTTAGATATGTGTCAGCGCGAGCTTTGACACCGACGTAAACTCTTCATCTGTTTTGATTTTTCTGCGGAATTCCTAGTCAAATTAAAGTATATAGTACATGCACGAGAAAAACACCAGAAATCCAGACCAATGGTGCGAGATACAAGTGTTTTCATAGTCATCGTTAGGGAAGCAGGAGAAAATCACGTCACTCTTATAAGTAAATGACGAGCTTCGCCTGTTAGAGCGTCTGTCTACGGGAGGCTAGCGTTGAATCGACTTCACGTTTGGCGCGTAGTTGAAACCTTCAAATATTGATTCCCCACTCATTCTACACCCGAAGCGCCTCTGAGTCCAACATTTTTCTCACCCATTCCCCTTATCTTCTCTCAACAACTCACATGCCCAATTCACTGCCCGCTGCGAAACCTTTTTTACTAGTACCCCTGCACTCGAAAAGTGTCACTTTCATTGAAAAAACTGACCTTGAAGCGAGCTGACTCGACAGATGGACAGTTCAAGCGACATGTATGTAAAGTAGGTACTGACAATCATCTTCGACTGACGTCGCTTGCAATCGCACAGGATATAAAGGCCATGCAGGCCTTTCGCTGCGCATCTCCCGCATACTCGCCCGAAATGCGTATCGGAAACTCATCCCTTCCGATTACAACGCATGCCGCCGTCCTGTACGCGTCGTCTATTCTATTTATTTCTATTTGATAAAATCTGACTGGAACGCAATTCTGACCAGCGATGTGCGCGTCCCGCAGGGCACCGGAGGGCTCGACGCCGCCTGCAAGTCGAGCGCCGATTGCGATACCGTAGACCTTTGCTGTGCGGAGACGATCCGCCGGTGCGAGCCCGTTGTCCTCTCATCGCTCAAGTTCGGTGGTTGTATTTGAGAAAACAAACCTTGGGGACGATATATACAGGAGGGATCGGTGGAATAGTGCTGTATCCCGCGTGTCGATGAACCTCCCTTCGCAGCAAATCCACGGTCTTGCTTTAAATTTCTTCCGACGACAGGCCGGAGTGAGTCCGAGATAAAGAGGTCTTATTTTCAACCACCTCTTCGGGATATCTACGACCCCAGCATACAAAGTATACAATCATGAAAAGTGATAGGGACACCCATAAACCCATAAACCCATTTACTCCACGGAGCCCAGCTTCGTCCGCAGCGCCAGAGACGCGTTCCGAGAAAGTGTTTCGTCGGCCTCTTCGGTCTGTGCGCGCTCATCCAATTCCTCCATCTGCAACTCCCACATCCGCTCCGCGAGCCCAATCTCGCGGCGCGAGTTGATAACGAGCCGGCTCGTCGTGAGCGTCGTGGCCGCCCAGATGAAACTTATAACAATCGACATGAGTCAGGGGTCGAGTCTTGGGAGGGGGAAGGACGTACAACACGACGACGAAGATCAAGGAAATCGGGGCGAAGATGGCGATGACTGTGTTGGCGATGCGCAGAACTGGCTAAATGTCAGGAACTCATTGCGGAGTAACCAACTGCGATGCCGGCGCACCGGTTAGAATCTGAAATTGAAGTCACACCGGCGGATGGCAAGGACGAAAGAGCAATGGACGTACAACGAAGTATACGAAGCCGTCACGGAAGAGCATGCGCGTGATGTGGGAGTCGGAGTCGGGCCCGACTGCACGCGGACGGTCAAGCGAGTTCCAACATACCGTGACAAAGACTACGGCCTCAAACACGATCTAAGTATAGTGTAATCCGTGTCTCCGAACAAGAAGGATGGTAGAAGGACGCACCCCTGGTACCCAGAGGCCAAAGACACTGGGCTTGGAAGTGAACGTGCAAAGTCCCACCGCGGGCTCGAATACGAGAACGGCTGAGAGAACTCGGCGTCGGAACAGGAGAGATATGGCAGAGGTCAACCACGCACGAATCATGTTAGAAACGACCCAGGTCGTAACGGAGAAACTCGCAAGTTGCATGAAGATGAAAAAAGTGAAGGACCACGTAATGAGTTGGTGTCCACTGGGGAGTGTGGTCCAAATGCGTTGCAGAACAAGCAAATTCGATATGACGATTGAGAGCCAGCCGGCGTATGTCTGTGACAGGATATTAGCGATAAAGAGAAGGAGAGAGCGCATACTATACCGTGAACGCGGTCCACGCTTTGCACCTGCCGAGAATTTCCTTTCATTATAATGACCAATCCATGAACAGATTGATGAAGGTTGCTTACACCTACGCAAATTTTTAGAGATTGAGATCTACGATACGAGTGGTATGCAGACGTACAACATCAGACATTGTAATAACCGGCAATCCGCTGCGAGCTTGCATACCATCAGGTAAATTCCACGCGGAAAAGCCAATCAACGTACTGACAGTCTGCGCAGTCAGGAAAAGGGGGACCATGTACCGCAAAAGGAGAAATAGGACCTTCTCGAGGCTTTTGGGCGCCTTCCATACGAACTCAACCTCGTCGTCCAGCGTGAGGAGGTGATCGTAGAGAAGGACCTGAGAATGTCAGTCAATGGGACTCCTAAAGAGCGTAACAATTGCTGACCACGAAGCCGGCAACTGTAGTGATAGTAGCAGGCGGTCAGTATCATATGAGTGGCGAGATATTGGAACGCAGTGGCTCACCGCTGACATAGCGAGTGGTGAGCACGTTCTGGAGCGCAACGATTACGCTGTGAAGGAGCTCAGCAGCAGGATCCATGGCGAATCACAGCCGTAGTGAGGTGTTATACAGTATTTTATTAGAACCGAATGTGAAAAAGTTGCACGGTGATGGGGCTCGTTAGCGACTACATCCATTCGCCGATAAAAAAGTTTTAACGATGGGGAAATGAGTTTGCAATGATGCGCACCAGAAAAAACGACTCGGTCGCCGTCCAGGACTTGTAATATTCGAGCCTTCCCATACTGGCCAGGCGTTTGAAAGGTTTACGAATTCGGTGCCTGTACTAATAAGACACGGAAACGCGCGAATCGGGAAAGGTCTCAGAAGAAGAAGCAACAAAGAAGAGCGGGAAATCATTTGTGCGTAGGCAAAACGGTTGTTCGCCGGCTTCCTCGGGCTGCTTCCCGTCGGCAAAACGGCAAGGAGAACGCGATTGGGTTCCTCTTCCCTAGCGGCCGAATTCTCGCTACGCAAAGATCGCCAAATTTAAAGACCGGGGGAGGATCATGGCAAATCATGGCTACAAGCGGAAAGAGAACCATGTGTCAACGATAAAAGATGACGGCCACGCTAGGGATTGAACCCAGGCCTCCAGCATTCATGTCTGGCGCTCTTCCAGCTGAGCTACATGACCCTTGGTGATCAATGGATGTGGATTCACCTACGAATCCAACACCATGCAGGCTATGAAATTTAAAGGACTTGCCGTCGGCGAATGAGAAGTGCTGTGACTTGAAAAAGCAGGGTCGCCTGAGACACTTAGGCCAGTTAGCGACGTGCCATTCTATGGGAGGTGAGAGTAGCCTTGCTTCAAGCACAAACGTGAGTAACGTCCAGAAGATCCCTGGGCATCCAAAGTGCCGGCTCGCCCAATACTTCCGCTGCCATGGAGACCAAGAGTAAATCCGACATCGTGCGACCGTGACGTCAATTTTCTTTCTTTCAAATTCCAGCCACATCCTCGCACACGCTGATTGGCTCTAGCTCTCCGGATCGAGTACCAAATGAGCTATGGGTCGAAATCTTGAACAAGGTGCCTAAATACGACCGATCCTTGAGCATTTCTCTTTAGCTTGTCGCACCTTCCGCGGCGCATCCCGACCTCTTCAACGTGTGTTCTTGCCTTGACAGCGGCGCCGTGCTTCTTCCTTCCTCCACCGAAGTAGACCGTCGCTTGGAAGGTCTCCGCTTCTGGTGCTCCCCAGAAATAGCCCCGTTTGTTCGGTATTGCGATATCTATGCGTCGCAGTCGCCACACAAGAAAGATTGGTGTTTTTCCACAGACTCACCCCGTATCATATTAGACACTCTGTTCCAACATCTTGGGTGTTTCACTGGCCTTCAGCGACTGCACGCACGCCGCATTCAAGCTAAGATAGATCTGCCGCTTGCCGACCCTCTCAGAGTTCCACGTCTATCGGTGTGCCGTTGCTGCACAACATACCAAACGCCGTCCATAATTTGGGCGTACCCGACCTCTGTGTTGTCCCCACCCAAGACGAAAACGACCACTGGATTCCCCTAGTTCAACCAGACAACCTTCGTGTATGAAGCGTGCAATTGAACCCTCGCTTCATGGCTCAAACTACACATCATCCCGGTTTGTCCAACCGTGCAGAGATCGAGCGAGCGCAGCGATGAATCGCACGCACCGTCCGAAAACTTGATCATTTTATCCAAATTCCCCGCTGACTTGCGTTAGAAACCCGTTTTTGTGAACTCAGATTACAACTCAGATGCCGAGAAGACAAGATTTTCCACGATTGGGAGCAAACACCGGCTCGCCGGACTGGAGAGGCGTCTGCATTTTGCTATTCTTGGCCGGATCAGATGGGGCAACGTAGACCATTTGTTATCTTGGTGGCCTGGAGTCCGTATGTTGTCGTGTTGGATCACGAAATATGTCGCGTCGCGACGTTGAAACAGCAACTATTATGTTTGCGACCCACAACCCTCTAGCAGGAATGTCCGATTGACTAATACATATCCATCGAATCTCGTCTTCCTCTCTGCTTTGTCTTAGTTTTGTGCGCATGCCGAGTGTCTGCGCCAACCTCCCGTGGATCCGCGCACGATTTTTCTGGCTGAAGGCACTCATCCGATCCTGGGGCACGCCGAGGCCGCCGAGATGCACCTGCCGCCGAGGTCAACACACGACACTTTGCCAATTTAACGGCAAGACTTGCCTATTCCCTAGTGTGTGGCAGCAAAATTCCGTGGATGCGCCTGTTGATATGGAGTTCAGTTGTCAATAAGCCAAATGCAATACGTCAAAGGTTGTACATGCGGGGTACTGTTACAGCGATGAGCAAATAGGACGCTGTAGGCTCAGAAAAACACGTACACAGGGGGTTACGGTTGGACACGCGGGCAACTATAACGCGGTCAGACCGTCAATTGACCGCACCATTATTCAAAAAGTACATACTTTGGGTCCGCCACCTATCCCCCGCGGTCATTCAGCAGTCGTTTTGGATGACGCACAGTGCGGGGGGCACTCACAAACAATGGCTACTGCTCCCTGTGCGAGGACAAGGAAGAGGAAAGCGCTTGAGATGAATTTAGTGAACATTGTGGGAGTGGGGACCATAATTGAAATGGAGCACTTTATATATGCAGCGGAGAGGCTATCCCCAGGGGCATGCATTCATCGGAGACGTTGGAATTGTTAATAAACCTGAAACTACGGATGTCAATGTCATATCCCGCCGACGTTGATATCTATCACTCACGCAGGGTTGGTGAGCCATTATTGCTCCGCTTCCGTCAGCGACTGTTGTGAGATCTTTGCACTTTGCAGCAGCATTTCTTGGACGAGGAAGAGGCAAAGCAGCGATGAGTTACAGAATCGGGGCCACCTGCGAGCTTTGCATGAATGGGACCTAAACGTATGCTGGGGCTCCGAATTTAAACGCACTATTAGTGCAGGTTAAATGAGCGATGACATTCATGGCGCCCATGCCGACGGGGAAAGCAGCACGGTAGGGAGTATATTTATACCTATATCGAGCTGTGATTTTTTTTGGTCGCCTGATGAACATCTGGCATGATAGAAGTCAGTCGCGGGACGCCATGAACGGTGCCTGGTACTTAGCATTGTTGCGTGGAGATGGAGTACGGAAAGGTGGCAAGCAACTGTGCGAATGGAGATCTTAGCCACCCGCTGCGGCAGAATGTAGGATGTCAACGCTTGAGCCAATACACCGAGATCTTGAGAACGCACCATGTCGAGTTCGGGTGGTGGGCCACGGGGTTCGACTCCCGGCGTGTGCATAATTTATGGAGAGCAGGGAGCATTTTCTATCCCTCAGGGAGGAGTTTCAACTGTAATAATGCTGCAAAGTGTCTAAAGGGATGAGCGAGTAATAGAAACGCAGCGGTGGAGTCAAAGACACACCTGTCTCAGGCTGGTTATGCTTTAATCAAAATCGGGTGAAGACGGGGTTCGACTCCCTGCCGGTGCATACACTGGAGGCAAAGGACGCCGCCTGTGAAAGGTGAATGCTTCCAACGCATTCAGTTCGCATGTGGGCGTGACAGTTGACAAAGCCCTTTGTAACTTCTATGTACTTAATGTATTAAATACGAACTAGATTCTATTTAGTTGTTGTAGGTTTAAGGGACATTTTTGGAATAGTCAAAATTCAGGTTAAGAATGGTTAATGGTAATTTTATCCCCAGCAAAAGTTTGCTTGTGTGTGTGGCGACTTAGCTGCACATGTTGCCGGCTGACGGCATGATGGAGTTGTGGCCGAGTCGCGCTCATGTGACGAGTCAGAAGTGTGGCCCTGACAAAGGCAGTGTGCAGGAAGTCTTCTGTGCTGACAAAGGCGACACGCGAGTGGGGTCCGGTGGTGGCAAAGCCGATCCGCCCGTGGGGTTGCGTGCCGACAAGGACACTGCGGATCAATAAACCATGTCGGGCTTGGGATGGGTGTGCGGTAAGCCATCAAATAGCGACTGACCTCCGTGGGATAGGTGCGGGGCCGGACACTGCACAATGCCGGCAGTGCCGACGCATAGGTTCTGACTTGTCACATGAGCGCGACCTGGCCGCAACCCCATCATGCCGTTGCCCGGCGGCAACTGCGGCCGAGTCGCGGCTCATGCAAACAAACCTTTCAGCTCGCATAAGAATTACCCTCAAATATTCTCAACCTTAATTTTGACTATCCCAAAAATGGCCCTCAAACATACAATACCTAAATAGACTCTAGTTCATATTTAATACATTAAGTACATAAAATTTACAAAGGGCTTTGTCAACTGTCACGCCCACATGCGAACTGAATGCATTGGAAGCATCCTTATTTCACATGTGGGGTCCTTTGCCCCCAGTGATAGACCAGTGCCCACGGGATTGTTTCTTTTTTTTGCCCCTTAGAGGACTACATATCGGCAATACATTGCGATGGAACTCCAATGCACATCAAGAGCAGACACATTTTAAAAGTGAGCAAAAGCGTGCGATTCTTCAACGCCAGTGCGCGATGATATCTACCGTGCGGGCTGACTTTGACACCCGAGTGCATTGAGGCTCTCGGGGAGCCCAGTCATGGGACATATAAAGCATCCAGTGCGAGGTGAATTAGAACAAAAGAAGGTCCTGTCAAATGGACCAAATGCATTTACGCTGGAGAAGGCTCAGGCTGATGGACGAGGCTCAGAAGCGCCTCAAAGTCCCAAACCCGAGGATATCTGGGCACGGATGAATGCACGAGATATTCCTGTGAGTTCTGGAGGACAAGCATTGCTTGAACGCGAGATATAGTTGCAGGTATGTCGGCTCGGAGGTTCAAGCTGGGATCGGGTGAGCGTCTTCCTCCCTGCGTGGGGAGGCGGCAAAAAGGCGCGCGCGCTTATCGACGTGTTGGGGATCAACCCTGCGCGATTATTGCCACGATGAAGCAGTCGAACTCACACCTTCGTCCAATCAGTTTTACGAAACCGCAAAAATTCCGCGTAGAATCCGGAGCACCATACAGTTAATAAACACAGCTGGCCATTCATGCCAGCATAATGCCTTTGCAATCAACATCAGAAATCACTCCGACTCGTGATCCAATCGAACACGCACCCCAGGCACTCGGACAATTCGCGAGCAGGTCTCCGGCTCCGTAGGGGCAGAGGGTGCAGATGATTGTCCTTTCTGAAGGTTCGTCACCTTCGGGGAGGGATTGCGCGTACAGCCCGCATAGGATACTGAAAGTGGTCGATACGTCAAGCAGGAACTCCGTATATCGCATGGCTTCGGGATTGACTCCCTCGACGCCGCAGGCCCACATACCCAGCCGAGTTTGGGTAACTCCGGCCGCGCTAATTTTTGTGGCCTTGCATGTTGTGGACCCGTAGATCGCAGCAGTGGAAACGTTTGCGCCCGTCTGTACATGTACGGAAATAAATTGCTCGTCTGCACCCGGAATTTATATACTTACGGCACCAGACGCAGTATTGGTTGTGTTCAGGACACATCCGACTGCCTGATCCATGAGCTCTGGAGTTTCAAGAGCATCTCCCAGAGCTGTCTCCATGGCTTGATCAAGAACAGTGTTGATGTCCGCACCAAAGTCGTCGGCGATATGTCTTGATACGGCCTGAATATTCATCGCCATTATTCCGGATTCGTGAGTGCGA